GTGAAGGTGTACTGCCTCAGCACCGCGGGGCCCGGTCTGCCACGCTCGCCCGCCGGGCCCACTCGGGCCTTGCTCTTGTCTCCGTCCGGGCTGCCGCGCTGGTTCTCCTTGCCGACGAGCCTCCTCCGCGCCCGGGCGTCGCCGGGGCCCGGCTGCTTGCCCGCGGTCAGGGGCTGTGGGATTCTCCCCTGAGCTGCGTTGGGGCCCCCAGGCACCCCCTGGCCCAACTGGTCCCCACAGGGGGGCGAAGCAGGACGCGGGCCGGTGCAGGCGGGGTTTCTCTGGGCAGGGGGCCGAGGCCGTCTGAGGGGAGCCCCCTCCACCAGCAGGTTGACCCCCACATACGGGGGCACCTCCACTGCCGCCTGCGACGGGGAGGAACAGAGAGAGTGGCTCAGCCCGGTGGGCTGGAGTCGAGTTCATTCTCACAGCAGCTCTGTCCATCTCTTGTGAAAACGACCGTGACCGATGAAAGGAACTGGCAGAAGCCGTTTCCCAAGAGGGGAAAAGTCAAAACAGAATTAAACTCCAGCGTTTCAGACTCGTCAGGCTTGGACTTTACTCTCTTTTGACCTTTCACCTCGATTCCCAGTGTGACTCACAACAGGCTCAAACAGGAATTCAGGGCTCAGGGTTCTTTGTGTCTTGCACAATCACCTACCACAGAGTTTAAGCTAAAAAGTCAAATTTAGCATAAATACAGTATGAAGTACAAATAATATCTGCAATAGGAGATGAGTACTGGTGTAGTGCACTGTTTGGACGGTAGGGGGCGCTGCAAGATCAGACTCAGCTTCAGGGCTGGCTGGGATTGGGGCACGTGAGCTGCTAAAGCACAGTGCACCCAGGACTGACGACTGCAGGCCCCTCGGCCCACAGCGAGTCCACGCTCTGGAAATAAACTGCCCTGGGATGCTGCGGGCGACAGGCGGGCGAGACGCCGGGCCCTCACCTGCTTGTAGATGAGCTCGAAGCCGCCGGGGTCGCAGGTCTTGTCGGCGCGGCGGTCGATGACGACGCGGATGGTGTCCTCCTGCACGGCGGCGCAGAGCCGGCTGGTGACGGGCGTGGAGGCTGCCATGGTGGGGCTGGCGTTGATCTCGATCAGCCAGGGCCGCAGGTCGGGGCCCAGCATGAAGTCGGCCCCGTACAGCTCGAAGCTGCTGCGCCGCGACTCCACCAGGTCCTGCGTCGTCTGCAGCGCGTGGATCACCGCCCACTTCATCCCCGGCTCCACCACCGCCGCCCACTGCCCCGCCCGCCCCCGCGCCCGCAGGAACGCGCGGAACTGCTCGCCCGACCACATGTTGTCCAGGGGGATGTCGGGGTGCCGCCGCGCGGAGGGCAGCAGGTGCTTCTGGATGGAGTTGTTGCAGAGGTGGACAGAGCTGGGGGGGAGGGGGGAGCGCGGAGAGAGGTCACCGGCGGGTCACCAGCGGGCTCCCCCCCCTCCTCGCACCCCTGCCCGCTCCCTCCCCGGCCTACCTGTCCAGGTTGTCCACGGAGTAGGGCTGGGTGGAGAAGCGCAGGTAGCACTCCTTGTAGAACCAGATCGTCAGGGGGTTCCAGTCAGTGACCAGGAACCACTGGCGCAGGTCGAACTTGGTGTCGTGGATCAGCAGGGGGCGCTCCAAGTACTTCTGCACCACCCACTTGCTGTCCTTGATGAGGGTCGGGTCGCTGTCCACCAGCTTCAGGATCTCCTCCAGCCGCTTCATGCACACTATACCTGGGGGTCAGGGGTCAGGGGTCAGGGATCAGAACAGCAGCAGCCAAGCCCAGTCTTCCAGATCCGTCACACTGCAGAGCTGTTTAACTCACACTCAGTCCAATCTGAGAAGAGCAAGGAAGAGAGTGCAGACTCCTACCTCTCCCACGAGACTTGGCTCCTGGCTTCACAATCCAGATGTTGTGGATTCCATCGATGTCCAGCTGTGGGTTGACCTCTCTGAGCCTCTCCAGCACAGTCACACAGCGGTCAGCATACTGGTCACTCCCCTCAATCGCTGCCCCTTCACTGGACAGAGAGCGAGAGTCAGAGACTACCGTGCTTCCCGCTGCACTGTGACAAAGGTCAAGGGAGGTGTCTCTCCTGCAGCTAGTGAGCCGCAGTCCTGAAGGAGGCAGAGAGTGACGCACACAGCACACTCCTGTCACAGTCCTCAGCCACATTCCATTAAACTTTTACTTAGAAAAGATTATTCTAATTGTTAATATTTTATATAGCACTTAAAAATAGATAGGGCACGTAGCCTGATGAAGTCGCCAAGGTACAAAGAGTCAGAGACGAGCGTATCGATGCTCTTAATCACATAAACGGGGTCAAGTATAAGTCTGAACGCAGATAAGTGAATGACCCCAGATGTCACTTTCTTCAATAATATTATTAATTAATAATCAGTACTCACTGCACAACCTGGTAGTAGCCGTGAATGAACTCCTCCCACTGTTGCTCGGTGACGGACGGAGGCATCTCCATAGCAATGTCGATGTCACTGTGATCCAGGCTGTCCAAGAAGTCCTGGCACACCTGCAGGGCCATGTCAATCATCAGGGTGCTGATGGATGAGGGGGGTCGGAGCCTACCTGCCCTCCTCTGCTCTGTGGAGAGGGGACAGCAAGAGGAGCTGTTACTGTCGTCACTGGCATCAGCAGCCCGTCTCACTGGTGTCAGTGTCAGGAAATGAAACAGAAGCTGTGGCGGTAACTGGGACTGGTGTAGTATTATAGGCAGGATTAAGGGAGTGCAGTATTAAAGGAAGGCGTGTTAAAAATAGTTCCCAAACTACAGGACAGATACAGAGGAGAGCTTAACTGCTCTCAGTGAGAATAAGCACAGAGGGGACTGTGCTGGCACTTGATTCAGGCTCAGTCCTGAAAGATGTTGACCAAGTCAGTTCAGGGCACAACTTCAAGATCAACACAGACGCGGGAACACAGGGGAGCAAGTGGCAAATAAGAGCAGGATCACTCAGGACAGGAAACAGGACGTCTTTACACAGAGAGGTGTGGGGGTCTGGAGCAGACACCCCCGCCAAGCTTTATGAAACATCTGCATAAAACACATGTTCTGATGAGCTGCAGCACTTGGGCCAGAGAACCCAGAGGAAGAGGAGAACACGAGGGGCATACCCTGAGCAGGGGGGTGTCTCGGGGTCCCCTCGCCACACTCCGCCCCACGCTGGCCCCGACTGCGCTCCACCACACACTGAAGCAAGCTGGAGCAGGCCGTCAGCCGGAAGTCCTCTGCACAGGGAGAGCAGCAGTGAGAGGCGTGGTAGAGCCCATGGGCGGGGAGAGGGGAGGAGAGAGGGGTCAGGGGGACGAACTGCAGCAGACAGAGGGAGACAGGAGGACAGGGAGGAGACAGGAGGACAGGGAGGAGACAGGAGGACAGGGAGGAGAGGGAGGAGAGAGGAGGGGAGAGGAGGACAGTGGAGCAATGGAGCCTCACCTGTGAAAGCGTGCTTCTCGTCCTGCGCCCCCAGCCTGTAGCAGCGCGGGAAGAACGTGTCGGGATCAGCAGAAGCAAACCACTGCAGGCTCCGGAGGTTCACACACAGCCCCACCTGCGGCAGACAGGACACATTCCCGTTCCATTCATGCGAAATGGGCTGGACAGAACCAGCTGAAGGCCACGCGGCTGGCGGCTGGCGGCTGACCTTGGTGGTGAACGAGCCCGCCTTCGCGTAGTGATTGGTCATCTGCTCCTTGCGCAGGGAGTGGCAGTCGATGGCGTCCCTCCGCGTCGTCCAGTAGAAATAGGGCGTCTCGTTCCGCACCAGCCGGGACTGGGGGACAAAGGGACAGAGGTGAGGAGGGAGCCCCAACTTGGCCTCAGCTCGTCACGCCAGTACATTACGCCTGGATGTGAAGCTGAGATGGAAGAACAGCCACAGCACATTACTGCTCAACTTCAAAGGCACTGGAAGCAAGCCCTGCTTGTCCTTCACCATGGCAACAACACCTCCTGTCTCCAGGGCAACAGCGAGACTCACCATGAGGTCATAGATCCCTTCCGGGTCATCCTCCTTCTCTCCGTCCTCTGGACTGGCGTCTGAGGGGGGGAAAGAAAAAACAGGGGGATATCCCACAAGTCATTCCTTCACAATGTCTGGTCTTCTGTATTCATGTCCTGTCAGACTCTGTCTCACCGTCGTTGTCATCGCTGTTGTCACCATCATCATCCTCCATCTCCTCGTCGCCATGCCGACGTGCAGCCCCCTGCGGCGCTGCTCGAGGGAAGCGGCGCTCCACCCAACCGCGAGCGCGCAGGGCAGCGCGGACCACTGGGTACGGTCCCTGCACGGAGAACACCTTCCTCATCTGGGGAGAGAGACGGGGGGACAGAGAGAGGGACAGGGGGACAGTGAGAGAGAGAGACAGGGAGACGGGGGGACAGAGAGAGAGGGACAGGGGGACAGTGAGAGAGAGAGACAGGGGAAGGAGAGAGAGACAGGGAGACGGGGGGACAGAGAGAGAGGGACAGGGGGAGAGAGAGAGACAGGGGGAAAGACGAGGGGACAGAGAGGGAAGACAGACAGAGAGAGAGACGGAGAGAGAGAGACAGGGGGACAGAGAGAGAGACGAGGGGACAGTGAGAGAGAGGGGGAAAGAGAGAGACGGGGAGACGGGGGGACAGAGAGAGGGGGAGAAAGAGAGAGATGGGGGAACAGCCAAAGAGGGGAAGAGGGATATAAATAAGTGAAGAAAGGCAGAGGAAGAGGCAGGGGCAGGAAGAGGGGGAAGAGGGACTTTTTACTGCACCATTCGCTGTCAGGGAATGCGCACAGTCAGTTATCTACAGAAAGGGAGAGTGACCGCTGTGCTGACCTTGACCGCCCTGTCCACCAGCGCCTTGGCGTTCTTCAGTCTCTCGGGGTTCATGACCAAACTGCGCCTCACCTTGCCCTCAACAGGTGGCGCTGTGACCACAACAACAAGACAACAATTGCTAATGACATGAAGCACAAATACAGATTTCTCTTATTCTTATTCTTATTCTTGCTGCCAGCAGCGAGAGCTCCTGATAGTAACATTACAGTGGGAGTGTGTGGGCTCGGCCCGGGATGTCGCGGGGGGCTGTGTGCGGCGCCGGGGCGGGCCTCGGCTCGGGCGGTCTTGCTGTGGCTCTGCGCCCTGCGGCCTGGCCTCTGAGCCTGCAGACAGGGGGACAGAGAGACTCCTGTCAGGGTGGGTAAAGGGTTTCGGAGCAAGAGGTCAGTGGACACAGCAGGGAAGAAGTCCCGCTCGAGCAGAAGCTGGAGTTCTGCACCATCAGCCACTCAGAGTCCAGGGATTAACCACAGCACGGCGGGAGCCATTCAGCCGCGGTGAAGCTTAGTGTGAATGAAGCGCCGCGAGCCAGCCCCTGGTGGAACTACGGCTCATGAGATATTCTCAAGGAGAGAAGAAGGTGGTGAAATGATTATTAGTTCAGGAGAAGGTTCAGCTAAGAAACAGGGAGCTGAGCTGGAGACAGCAGGGCCTCACCATGGTCAGCCTCAGCTGGGCTGTCCTCACTGCCTCCAGCCTCGGCCTCCCCCCCTGCCTCTCTCGACTCTACAGACTCCATGGGCTCAGGCAGCCTCGGGGTACCAGGGCCGAGGGCTCCCCGGGCACAGGGGCATCTCCCCCCGGCCTGCCCGCTGTCCTGGAGCGCCTGTCTGTCTGTGCTGACCCTCGCCTGGCCGGTCAGGCCGGGTCGCTGCCTGCTGTGGGGACAGGAGGGGCAGGAGGGGCAGGAGGGACAGGAGTGAGAGACTGACAGCACACGCGCATCGCCGTCACCCTGCTCAGCAAGAGCAGCCGAGCAGACAGACACCCCCAACACACTCGACTGGGGATGTACTAACTGGGTAACACTGTTACTGACACTACTGACTGTATACACACTGTAGTCTACTGACTGTACTCACACACACTGTAGTCTACTGACTGTACACACACACACTGTACTCTACTGACTGTACACACACACTGTAGTCTACTGACTGTACACACACACACTGTACTCTACTGACTGTACTCACACACACACTGTAGTCTACTGACTGTACTCACACAAACACTGTACTCTACTGACTGTACTCACACACACTATAATTTACTGACTGTACACACACACCACCTCACAGACCAGCCTGGCCAGATTTGTGGAGCCTCAGCTCTGTCAGCGACAGTAACCACAACACTGTGACACGCTGGTCACCTGCACTCAGATAAGAAGGACGGAGGCTTTTTGTTCAGGTGTCTCCAGGGCTGTCACTGGAAAGGCGGACTGTTTCGGAACTAAACCTCTCGCAATGCGCCTGTGCCCCCAGTGCCCCGTCAGCTAACGGACCCCCCGGACCCAGAGCTGTGCAACACGGCTCTCCCAGCTCAGAGCCGAGGTGTCGCCCGTCTTGGAGTGACCGAACCGTGTTCCCAGGGCTCGCAAAGCGCCCGCGTGGCTGCGGTCCGAGAGCGCTCGCGCTTTGTCCTTCCTCACCGCCCTCATCATCTCCGGCACAGCGAGCGCGCGACGACGGCAGCCCGCAGGACAGCTGACGGCGCTTTGGTGCTCGATTCGGAGAGCCCCGCACACCTGTCCCGAACACACCTGCCAGCGGAAGAGCGAGGGCTCGGTTCGGCTGCAGTCGGACTCCCTCTGCACCGCGACGGCGCGTCACAGAGCGCGGAGATGTGTCAGCTTTTCTGGAAACGATAAAAACCCCACAGACACCCGTAATTCCAGATTCATTCTTAACGAGTCTGGCAAAACATTACCAGTTGATAAGACCACATAGCTACAGAGGCTACAGAAGCAATAAAGATTAAAATAATATCAAAAGGTTTAACACGAGGTTCTGTCTTTCAGGGTCACACGACCAGATTAATATAAATATTGAATGTTAACTGGAGCTACAGAAAGCTTGGAAGAATCCCAACACGTCTCTCTCTTTTAAAGGCCCTGCACATTCGGCTCCGCCTGCCTGTTTCCCCTGGCGGGGATGTAGAAGGACCCGTCAGCCCGACCCCCCTGTACCCCCGACCCCCTGTACCTGAGCGACCTCGCACTGCGACTCACCTGGCCGCGCGCCGCTCTCACCTGCGAGCCAGACGTTCTCTGTCTGTGCGCAACGCGCCTGCGCGGCTCCCTTTACACGCGGGCCGGCACGCAGTGTTTGCGGTCTCCTTGGTGACGGTCTCCCAGCGACGCGCGGCATCCCACCAGCTACAGAGCCCGAACCGGGTCGCACGCAGCCGTGTGGGCGGCGCGCAGCATCAGCTGCTGCAGGACTTCCTGCTGTTTTACTCTCAGAGCTGACTGAGATTTGGAAGAGGAACGAAGCCCAGCTGTAGCCAAGACTTAATCAAGAGGAACCTCATTCAACTGCCAAACAGAACCACATCCGCTGAATTGCAGAACCTCGATGACATCATACTGGGATGGATGAATTAGTGGGGAGAGCAGAGTGATGAAGCCAGTTCAGAGATGGGGATTATTAGGAGGCCATGATGGGTAAGGGCCAGGGGGAAATTTGGCCAGGACACTGGGGTAACACCCCTACTCTTTTCAAGAAACACCTGGGATTTTTAATGACCACAGAGAGTCAGGACCTCGGTTTTACGTATCATCCAAAGGACGGCGCCTTTTTACAGTGTATTGTCCCCGTCACCATACTGGGGCATTAGGACCCACTGGACCGCAGGGTGAGCGCCCCCTACTGGTCCCACTAACACCTCTTCCAGCAGCAGCCTCAGCTTTCCCAGGAGTCTCCCCTCCAGGTACTGACCAGGCTCACACTGCTGAGCTCCAGTGGGCTGTGAGCTGGGAGTTGCAGGGTGATATGGCTGCTGGCAATTTAAGATTGAAATTGAATTTAAGACATTCCTACATCTGCTGTCTCCCTCTGTCGAGCCTCAGTTACTTGTCCTAAAGTCTAAAGTCTTTCCTGGAACCTGCAGGCTCAGGCCCGAAGGGAGGGGCTCAGGCCTGGAGAGAGAGGCTCAAGTCTGGAGAAAGAGGGGCTCAGGCCTGGAGAGAGAGGGGCTCAGGCCCGAAGGGAGGGGCTCAGGCCTGGAGAGAGAGGCTCAAGTCCGGAGAAAGAGGGGCTTGTTCTTCTCACCAGAGGTGCTTTTAAACTTTCTGCTTTACAGAGGACATCCTACCTCAGTGTCAAGAGTGAAACAGCGTGGGGTGGAGGAAAGGAGAGATGGGGAGGGACCAGAATGTGTAATTAAAAAAGAGAAGCAGAAGGTTTAGAGAAAGTATCAGACTCTTGAACTGTGTCACTTCTCTACACAGAGGGTGTCTGGAATGATGTTGAAGCAAATATCCAGGTCTGTGAAGAAGCAGCTGGAAGAGCAGGACAGGCCAGACTGCTTCTTCTTATCTGTACACCCCTTCAGAAACACGCACTCCAACGCACAACACGTGAGACCTACACAACTGGACCCGTGCAATTACAGGGGCTCAGCAGCTAATGGGATCTGCTGTTGGTGCCGCAGACTTGCTCTGAAATCCGAGGAATACATTGTCAGCTTTCCCGACTTCGGTGTAGTTCCCCTGCTGATAGAAGCCGTTGTCATCCCTTCTCGGTTGAGTCCATATGCGCAGTGTCATCATTTTCCCTTCTCCGACACACGAGCATCCAGATCTCATTGTACAAGATCGAACCTGGTGGCCAGGAGCCAGGAGCTTTCACAAAACCATGAGATCTCCCGTGGTCAGCAGCAGCACATTATTGACTTGACTTATGCCTATTTCACTATGCAAAACACTGTGTACCCAACTGTGCAGATGGGCACCTGACTGCAGCAGTCGGAGTGAGGAATTAAGAATCTCTCACAGGTGTCACAGCAGGATCCCACATGGAGTCTGAACCCAACACCTTCCTGCTCTGAGTCCAGAGCTGGCCCCTCCTCCGCACTGCTGACCTTCAGAGTAATGAAGGTCACCGACACGACTGCCAGTACAAGAAGATGCAGAGGCCGTTCGACGTCCACAGCTGCCACAGTTTAACACCGCTTAACTACATTGATACCAGGAGACGAAATGTGTTTCAACACAGCGCAAGAAAACATGTCACAGATCGCATAACACAGCTGCTACACTTTGCTTTTACAGAGAGGGGGAGGACCTCAGGGGTCTCCTGCAGTAACTGAAGACTGAAGCCTGACTTCCTGCCCAGTGAGAGCAGGTTGAGTCACACAGTAACAACCTGAGCAGAGCCAGGAGGAAGTGGAACCGAGACAGGCTGGGGAGGGGTGAGGGGGGGCAGGATGCACGGATTGAGGTCAGACAGCACTGGCCAGGAAGCTCACAGCCCGGCCAGGCCACATGAACATGGGCTAGAAATCAAACTTCCAGTGCACAGCAATAAGATCCATTTCTGATTTGACCTGCTGTAGGCTCTTTCACAAATGCTGGCTGCTTAAAAATGCTGCTGCCTAGTCAGGCATGTGTATTTTAAAAAGGTATTCCTATGGACAATGACAGTACCCAGGGAAGGAGGATGCAGACAAGCCACCGTAGACACAGAGGAGGACCAGACAGGCCCTCGCTGATGTGCTCACCCAGCCACATTTACCTGCATACCAGACCTCACTGATCCCCGGTGCAGATTCTCCTCATGCTGACCTGGTGTGAGTGTCCTGCAGTGCCTGAGGACGGCACTGTGAGTGTCCTGCAGTGTCTGAGGACGGCACTGTGAGTGTCCTGCAGTGTCTCTTCCTGTTCTGTAGGAGCAGAGTGAGTCAAGTGGCTTTTGAAGTTTGTCATTCAGGCCAGCTAACCTCAAAAGCACCCAGTACACAGAGCTCCAAGCCCAGGAATGTCAGAGACCCCGAGAAAACCCAGCAGTGTCCGCTGGTCTATTCACACATGACCCTGAGGCAGTGGAGCCCGACCTGCACGCACCTGCAGCGCAAGGGGACCGACTCCCGCCCCTGACCCGACGCCTCTCTCTGGAGGAGCCACAGGCTGCGCGTGCAGGAGCGAGAGTCTGGGAACAATCGGAGCCGGACAGAGAAACCCTCGGGAAAGGGGAGAGATCAGCCATGCCGACAGGACCCCAGGATAGGAGCCCAAGCAGCCAGCCCGCTGCAGAGACATGGCGGTGCAACACAGCTGTGGTTTTATACTTCCCCTTGCAGAGACGCATTTAAAAATGATTAACAGCAAACACACTCACGTCACACCCCATGAATAGACAGCGCCAGGCGATCTTACTCTTAAAGGAAAACACTCCTTCCTCATTCCACGACTCGCAAACTCCTCTGATCATTCACCTGTTATCAGCCTCCCCTGCAACCATATACCTCAGGCCCTGCGAGAAGGCCAGGCCACGCACCAAACGTATAGATGTGTAGGTCTTCTCGTAATGTCTTTTGCAGTAATTTGTTCCAGATATTTACATTATTACACAAGTTCCTCCTCCCTAAACCCGACTCTCTGTGCTCAATGCCAATTTCAGCTTTTGATTCCAACCAACAGTTCCTGAACATCCCGAGTCGATGCAGAAGTCATTAAGACCATCAACCTTGGCTGCTTCAAAGCCTGTCCTGGAAGGACGATTGTGCTCAACACAAACCCACACAGACGCACGCAGACAGAGCTGTATTTTTATTGTTATCGTCAGCGTTTCATCAATATTTTTCTCTTCTGATTTTGTGTCAAAATAGAAGCGTACATAATTTTTTCTGATCAAGACCAAAACAACTCAGGATTGCAAGTTTGCGTAACAAAAAAAAAAAACAAGTATATATAAAAACAAAAAAAGCCGTTTAAATTACTGGAACAAAATTCTCCAGTTTTCCTGACATCATGAATATTAACAGTTTAATCAATAAGGACCCGCCCTGATATTTAGTTTTGTTCTGAAAGGCAGAAGTGTAATGAGGCTGTGAAAATGTATGTACAAATATTAATATTCATGAGGTCAGGTCAACTGACCCAGAGGTGGACACGCTCCCTCCTTACTGGATTGGTCTCTTCTCTAGTTCTCCTTGCTGAGTGGCTCTTCACAACTTCCTGGTCACACCCCCTTCCACACCTGCCCCCTCCCTGTGGGGGCATCCGGGTCCCACGATCAGCACAGGGAGTGGCGCCAGACTCAGAACTGCAAGACGAACAGATCAGGATTGAAAACACATTGACAGCACCGCCGATGCCGACAGGAACAAACGTTTCACATTTTAATAGAAAATTATTCGCAAAGACAAAGACAAAAAACAGCTCAGAGCTTTCTGCTTCTCAGTCACACGTGCTACCAGTAAATTAAAACATTTCACTTAAGAAACTTGGATATTATCCGGACCTGCACTAGTCAGAACTTACTGCATCCTTCCACTCGAAACTAAGAGTGCGTCTACGGGGGAGGGTTTTTCCCAGGTGTGGGACGTCCTGGCCACGGTGCTCGGGGCTGCAGTCAGCACGTGCAGCAGAGCCCGAGACTCTGCAGCCCCATCCGCCCTCCTGGCCTTCCCGTCCATTCCTGTGCTTCAGTGTTTTAACGGAGTGTAGGAACGTAGCCAGGAAACACGGAGGTTATTTTTCACAGCCATTCCTGCAGCTCTGCAGGCCGGTACCACTGCGCTACGTCTAACACCACTCTGTCCTGTTACAACATCTGAACAGCTGGTGCAGAGAAACCGAAGCTTTGAACTAAGCTGATGAGGCAAACTCCCCGAAAGGCACGTACGTTCTTGAGGAACTCCTCAGCCACGATGCGGGCGCGGGCGTTGACGGACAGCTTCATCTCACTGATCTCCTTGTCGATCTCCTCCATGAAGTGGATGACGAAGTCCACCAGCTTGTGCTTGTACATCTGCTCTGTGTGGAAGTTTGTGATCAGGAAGCTGATGTCGTAGCCCTGGAGTCAGGAGAAAGAGAGCGACCGTGACAGACAGGATGAGTGTATGTAATTAATAATAATAATAATTGCTTACACTTATATAGCGCTTTTTCTGGACACTCCACTCAAAGCGCTTTACAGGTAATGGGGACTCCCCTCCACCACCACCAATGTGCAGCATCCACCTGGATGATGCGACGGCAGCCATAGTGCGCCAGAACGCTCACCACACATCAGCTATCAGTGGGGAGGAGAGCAGAGTAATGAAGCCAATTCACAGAGGGGGATTGTTAGGAGGCCATGATTGATAACAGCCGATGGGGAAATTTGGCCAGGATGCCGGGGTTACACCCCTACTCTTTTCGAGAAACACCCTGGGATTTTTAATGACCACAGAGAGTCAGGACCTCGGTTTTACGTCTCATCCGAAGGACGGCGCCTGTTTACAGTATAGTGTCCCCATCACTACACTGGGGCATTAGGACCCACATGAGCCGCAGGGTGAGCGCCCCCTGCTGGCCCCACTAACACCTCTTCCAGCAGCAACCTTAGTTTTTCTCAGGAGGTCTCCCATCCAGGTACTGACCAGGCTCACACCTGCTTAGCTTCTGTGGGTTGCCAGTTGTGAGTTGCAGGGTGATATGGCTGCTGGCTTCTACACCAGTGAACTAGACGCTGGTATAGTGAAAGAACTAGTGAAGTTTGCAGATGACCCCAAATTGGAGGATTGACAAAATGCTTTTTTAAATTTTATTTGCTGCTTCTACAGACTTACACATGATTCAAGACTGGACAAACGCTTGTCAGATGAGATCCCGAGATTAATAAGTTATTGCCGAAGAGGCGAGATCTCGTCTTCCCGAATCCCCCTCTTACCTCCACGGGTTTCCTCCGCAGGATGAAGAAGTTCTCCGCTCTCATCATCATGAAGCGCATGAACTTGTGGCACAGGATCTTCTCAATCTCATCGGCCTGTGGGGACACATCACAGCGCCGTCAGCCCAGCCCTGTTCAACCCCAGTCCAGTCAGAGTCTCCTCCTCGGCCCTCCACCTGTCGCACTGCTAACGCCACCTGCAGGCCTTCCAGCCACTCCTCTGTAAGAGCGGTCCTGCGCTGCACCAGAGAGAGCAGTCAGGCTGCCTCTAAAATCACAGAGCAGCCTTTTTCATTCTCTCGACCAATCACAAGCCAGGTAACTAAGGCATCTACCAATCACAGAGAAGGTCATTCTGAATTCCTGACCAATCACTTGACGGTTCCAGGAAGAGATCACTCTGCCCACTGCAAAGTAATTATATTTTTCAGGTCCCATCATCTGGACACTCTTAAACAAGTTAAGATCAGTGCTGTATATTTCCAGTATGACACTGACACAGAGAAACATGTACTCATGACTTCTGCTTTCTGCCTCATCAGTGGTGTGAATATCAGCCTCTAAAACACCCGACTAAGACCGGCTGGTTTTCCAGTCTCTCGACCTGGGACACGAGCCCCGCCCACGGCCTCAGCCAACCACGGCACGGCACACGCGTGGCCACGCCCCCTCAGCGACCTGTTTGACAGCGATGCTGACGCGCACGGAGTTGATGGAGCCCTCGATCAGAACCTTCTCCTTCTCATTGCGGCTGATGATGACCGGCTGCAGCAGCAACTCCTTACTGCTCCTGGAGAGAGAGAGAGATGAGAGAACACGTTAGGACCCCAGGAGGACTGCAGAGCAGAGCTGACCATGCGCCTGCCTGTTTGGCAGAGAGGCTGAGGGCCAATCCCAGCAGAGGAAGGGCTGAGAGAGGGAGGGGGGCAGGTCACCCCGAGAATAGGAGAGCCTCGAACCCGCGTCCGGCTCAGACTCACCGGACTTCAACCTCTGGCTTGTTGTGTCTCTCCACCACCTGGGAGGAGAAGTTCTCCAGACAGAGGGCGGCCTGCAGCGTGGCGCGCACGGCGTTCAGGTAGGGCCGCAGAGTCGCTGTCTGGGGAGGCAGAAGAGCAGTTCTTTACATTATATAGCGCCTTTCTGGACCCTCCACTCAGAGCTCTTTACATGTAATGGGGATCCCCTCCACCCCCACCAGTGTGCAGCCCCACCTGGATGAGGCACCAGTACTCTCCCCACACCCCAGCTCTCAGTGGGGAGGAGAGCAGAGTGATGGAGCCAGTTCAGAGAGGGGGGTTATTAGGAGGCCATGACTGGTAAAGGCCGGGGGGGAGATTTGTCCAGGACACTGGGGTTACACCCCTACTCTTTTCGAGAGACGCCCTGGGATTTTTAATGACCACAGAGAGTCAGGACCTCGGTTTTACATCTCATCTGAAGGACAGCGCCTTTTTACAGTATAGTGTCCCCGTCACTACACTGGGCCATTAGGACCCACACAGACCGCAGGGTGAGAGCGCCCCCTACTGGCCCCACTGACACCTCTTGCAGCAGCAGCCTCAGCTCTCCCAGGAGACTCCCATCCAGGTACTGACCAGGCCCCAGTGCGACAGAGCCAGAGCGCACCGGCCGGAGAATTTCAGAGCCTCGGCCCCGCGGGTCTGGGTCTGGGCGGACAGAGCCCTGCGGGCCCGCATTCCTCCGGCCCCCCCCACCCTCAGCCCCGCAAGCCCGGGCGTGCGGTGGGGATCTCCATGGCAACAGTGAATTCCAGCAGCGCGAGCCTCCCGTGCCCGGACGCGCAGAGACGCCTGTGCACGAGCGAAGCGGCACGCAAACAGGGGGGTACCCGGGGTGCCGAGAGTCGGTCACTTCCAACACGTCATTTTGACAGGAAGCCGCACACACCACACGAAAATAAAACCCCTGCAACCGCCTTGAAATGACGCTTCACACGCCACTTTCTGCCCTGCACTGCCTGGTGCCATCCAGCACCTGAGCCGGCTCGGCGCCCTCCCCACCCGCCGGGGGCACCGGGCGGAGCGGCTGCAGGCTGTCGGCGGCCGGGCTCCGAAATTTGGGTGGGGATCCCAGGCACACCTACCGCGGCCGTCGGCAGCCCCAGCCAGGAGCCTCTCGCAGAGACTCCCAGGGCACCGCACCCCATCTAAGACCCCGCGCACAAACCATAGCAGCCCACTAACCTATTTACCAGTAGTTAATTGTCTTAATTATTGATGTTAATATCCAGAAACGCTACCCTGTCTTACCATTTCTGCTTCCTCTGGGGAACAAGACGGAAGTGCTCGGAGCGCGTGCGCACGGCGGCTCTTCCGCGAGCGCTGCTCGGCTGGCTGGGATGTACCATTCCCACATCTTAAGGGTGTGTGCAAGTAACTGAATAGTGCCATTTCTTTGTGCGCTACTTTTCATTTTCCACTATCTTGTACAGCCAAATACCTTTATAAAGACTAGGCGTTTGAAACAGAACATGCAAGAGGCAATCTCTCTTAGTGCTCTGATATAGCACAGCATCGTTCCGGAACGGTACGACTGGTATTACGTTCACCGTCTCTAGCTCGAGTTATTATGATTAGAAATTCAGAAACAAGAACTACTAAATCTGCTGATGTTATTTTAAATAATCTATGTTGTCTTTCTTTTCCACCTATTTCCACAAAAAATCTCTTCCTCCCACCCCCACCTTCAATTTGGTTTAGGCAGAGATTTTCTTCCATAAAAGGCAACGTGGGATTTCAGACTGGCTGGCTGAATGTGGGGGGGGAGTTTTCGACTAGCTGGAGTCTGCTGTGATCTGCAGCAAAACAAACAGAAGAAAACGAGTGCAACTTCAAATAAAATATTTTTTATTTAAATCTTTTATTTCATTTTTATCTTCAATTATCATCTCGTCGCCACATTAAACGTTGTAATTCTAAGAATAAACCCCTCTCTGGTGGTGTCGTCTTCAGGGAGAAACCATCTTGCAAGAGACGGTTTGTTCAATCAGGCTCAGGAGACGGGGTTGGCGCGGTGGTCAAGGGAGTCTAGTACATGTTTCATACGCGCAATAACTCAACCCGAAAATTCTCTAAGTTGTTGTAGACACTGTTAAACATATACTTCACGTCAGATTGGATTTCGGAAAGAAATGTTTAGTCGTGAAGGTGAACAGAGTGTGTCGCGCACCCCTCTGTAGCCCTGAATGGTAGAGTCAGCAATGGAAGCTGCGCTGCAGGACTAAAGCTGTCCGTTCTGCTTTAGCGTCTTATCAATGGTAAGTCTGCAACCAGAGAGCAAAACGCGTACGTGTAATGTTCTGGGAGGAATAAACAGAAGCTGCCTAATCTGGCATTCGCCTAGATGAACAGAGCCGCCGTGTGAAAATGCTCCTTGAGGTGGCGGAGGCTGGAGGGCGCAGTCAGCGTTGTGCAGTGTGCGCGTACGTATCAATGGACAGGGTCCCTTCGCCTGAGGATGTTGTTCTCTCTCGTTGCGTGTAAGACCTGCCACTGCACGGCACTGCGAGGGAGAGTAAGAGCCGCCCGCTGCACTTACGGCGGGGTTTGAAAGCAGTGGGGCTTCTTAAACGTTTATGAAAACAAGACCGTGCCGAGGTTACGCTCATGCACGGAGCAGTCTGGTTGCGGGGCGGGCAGATCCGTCTCTCCTACCGGAGATAAAAGCCTTTGGAAGTCAAGTTTCACGAGGCGCACGACGATTCTGGCTGCCTGACATTGCTTGTGTCTGTCTCGTTTAAACATCTGTCGTTGTAACTCGTGTTTTGTTGTCACTGTTACTGTGCTGTATTGCTGCTGGTGTCGCTCGTTGGTGACGTCATGTTTTGTGTGTAAGACGAGCTTTGTCCGGACGCTGTTGTGCCGAGCGGTTTAGACAGGCGAGGTGTGCAAGACTGGCCACCTCCGCTGTCACCTACTAGCAACAGCGCACGGGGAGGGGAGGGAATGCAAGGGAAACGCACTGATCCAGTGGTCAGTGGCATAGCTGGGGTTTGAACCAGGAACCAGGAATAAGGCCTGCGCCTGAATCCTTTGTCCCTGTTCAGGGTGGGATGTCTTTTAAAAGGCAGGTGTCTGTGTCATATGCACTTGAAATCTGACATCTCTGCCTGTCATGCTCCCGAGCTGGAGCAGCCTGTAGCACACTGGCAGCCTGATCTGTGTGCTCAGTTCTGCCCAGCCTGCAGCACACTGGCAGCCTGATCTGTGTGCTCAGCTCTGCCCAGCCTGAACACACTGACAACCTGATCTGTGTGCTCAGCTCTGCCCAGCCTGAGCACACTGACAGCCTGATCTGTGTGCTCAGCTCTGCCCAGCCTGCAGCACACTGACAGCCTGACCTGTGTCCACAGCTCTGCCCGGCGTGAGGATGAGTGAGCTGAAGGACTGCCCTCCGCTGCAGTACTATGACTTCAAGCCGGTGGAGCATGCCAAGGTGTGTCCGCGGTACACGGCGGTGCTGGGCCGCTCCGATGATGATGGGATCGGGATCGAGGAGCTGGACACCCTGCAGCTGGAGCTGGAGACACTGCTGTCCCCCGCCAGCCGCAGGCTGAGGGCCCTGGAGGAGCAGAGACAGGTGAGGGGGTGCGGGGGGAGGGGACAGGTAGGGGGGTGTGGGGGGGAGGGGACGGGTGAGGGGGTGAAGGAGGGGGAGATGAGGGGTGTGGACACTAACCAGGAAAGAGAGATCACAGCATAGTTGCTTGTACACCCATCGCTCCCCAAAACTGTGCTGACTGTCGCAGACACCTGCGCGTGTGTCTGTCTGCCTCAGATCCTGACGGACTGGCAGGACAAGAAGGGGGACAAGCGCTTCTTGAAGATGGGGAAGGAGGCAGACCTGTCGGCCGCACCCCGACACTCCAAGCCCAAGAAACAGAAGCTGGAGGGAAAAGGGGGCCACGGGCCTGGACCTGGCCCGGGTCGGCCCAAATCGAAAAACCTGCAACCCAAGATCCAGGAGTACGAGTTCAGCGAGGACCCCCAGGACACCCCGCGCATCCCCAAGAACGATGCCCCCAACAGGTTCTGGGCGTCTGTGGAGCCATACTGCGCCGACATCACCAGCGAGGAGATCAGGGTGCTGGAGGACCTGCTGAAGGCCCCCGAGGACGAGCCCGAGTACTACAAGGTACTGAGTTCTGTTTACAAACCACCACGAAGCTCCGCTGTCCTGCGCCCGATCTGCACAGCCTGTCCCTCTCTGTGTGCTGTCCTGTGCCTTTTCTGTACAGCCTGTCCCTCTCTGTGTGCTGTCCTGTGCCTTTTCTG